TCTTTATTGGATGCAATTTTTATATCAGCAAATTCCAATGCCTCATCGATGTTTATAAAAGGGATATTTTCGTTCTCTAAAAATTTGTTTGTTATTTCGATTTCTCTATCAGATAAAATGTATGAATTTATTATGTTCGATTTTGCCCAAATGAATGGCATACGCAATGTTAATTAATTCTTCTTTTATTATCTCTAATTTAAACTTTGTTTTTAGCAGTAATTCATTATCAATTTCTTTTTTTTCTTGAACTAACTTAGATATTTTATTTGTATTCTCGATTACTTCATTAATTTTTTCATTAGTTAATTTATTTATTACAACTTGCCTATTATTATTCTCTAAGACGTTATTCATTTTTTCAATTAAAATATTAAAGTCGCTATGGTCTGGATTTCCTGCGATCCATTTCCATGCTGAACCTATAAAATCTAATGACCTTTTACTATGTGATTTGTTTATTCTAATTCTACCTAAATAATTTTTGGATTGATTGACGAGGGATAGAAGGATGGGATTTAGGGGATGATTTGGGAGCTGATCGTTAATTGTCCTTTCTAAGTGTCGTATAGTCTTGTCGTAGTCATCTAGCTCTATTATATGTATAATTTTAAAATTCCCTGTTTGTAGTTTTGCTGGTCCTGAGTCAATTGCCACGAGTTGGGATGATGAGTTGCTTCGGTTATCGTTATATGATCTAAAAATTTCATAATAAAAATAACACAATATGTGTAATAATCATTATTTTGTTTATTTTTATTATGTTTCCTTATTTATATTTTTTCTTCCTAACTTCCTACGTCGTGCTTATTTAATAATTTTTTTCGCTTTTCCTATTTCGAAAGAAAATGTTTTCTTATTTTCGCTTCGAAAAGGAAAATGGAAAAGTTAAAAAAAAATTAAAAATTTATTTTTATTTAATTTTCTATTTTTTTATTTTTTTTTTGTTTATTCTATTTTTTTATTATTTTTTTACTCTTGTTTTATAAGGCTCTTGTGAACCACTTTGCCTGATTCTGTTATGACTGTTGATGACTTGTTTTCTTTAACAATTTCCTTTTTGAAGCGGGGTGTGAGTTTTGTACCGTATCTTTTGTTAATTTTCACGTAAATAGTCTGTCCGGGTGAATAGCTTTTAAGGGTTCTTTTGAAATTCTAAGTCTTTGTCCTGTTTGAGTTTCAGTTTTTGTATGTTATTCTGTCTAGCTTCCTCGTATTTTTCGGGGTTTATATAAACTTTACGTCCAAAAAAATTTTCTATGGGTTTCTGTCCAGTCGTGGAGTGTATTGAAAAATTATATTCGTAAACGGCTCTATCTAATAGTTCGTCAAAAGTTCTTTCGATGTCTTCAGTTTTTAAGCATCTCAGTATTTCTGCAAGCGTAGAGTGGAAACGCTCGATTTGTCCATTTGCTTTGCTGATATGAGGTGGAGTCTTGTAGACTTTAATTCTTAATTGGTCTTCTAACATGAAAATTATTGATTGTGAGTTGAGAGATTTTTCATTGTCTATTATTAAGGTCTGTGGTATTCCGAAAGTAAAAAGTAGTTGCCTAAGGGGTTCACGTATGTCTTCTATTGATCTCGATTTAATTACTTTTGCTTGAGCATATTTGGAGTATTTATCTATTGCCGTTAACACTAACTTTTTCTCAGCTATGAATATGTCGATATGGACTATTTGTCCTGGGTATTCTGGAATTGGAGTGGGTTTAATTTCGGGTTTATTTGGATGTCTGTCGTATTTGCTTACGGCGCAAATTCTACACTGCTTGACAATTTTGTTAATTTTAGACTGCATCTGTGGGAAATAGAAATTTTGAATAATTTGTTTTTTGTTCTCTATTGCGTTTCTGTGGGCTCTTTTGTGTTCTAGCAAAATTTGTTGCTCTTGTTGTTCGACTGTGCTTAGGTCCTTAACTTGTGACTGAGTGAATCTTATTTTGTAGTTGCTAAAGTGAATGGGGTATAGTTCCTGGATTTGGCCCATTATCTCTTCGGAGGTAAATAAGCCATTGATCACAGAGGGGTTAAGATGTTTTTTAAGTAGTCTTTGTAAATCGTCTTTAGAGTACTGCGGTTTGCTAATTGTATGCCTGTGGTTGTCGGAAAAGGAATTTGAAGTCGTATGAGTCCTTCTGTCCAACGAGTATCCAGATTTGGTTTTTGAAAACGTTAATTGGGGCTTCTGTTGATGGTATTAAGGTTGTGTCCTGAGCTTTCGTCAGAATGAGTTGCTATTGTGTACTGAATTGAGCTCTGGAGGTCTGGAAAGGGTATCGGCAACGATATTTGTTCTACCTGGTTTATATTTAAGTTCGTGATCGTATTCTTCTAAGCATTGCCTTCCATCTTTTTAATTTGGAATTGTCGTTTTTATTGCTGAGGGCGTACGTTGATTAGGGGCTGGTGATCTGTAAATATTTTTATTTTGGCAGTCCCATATAGGTAGTTTCTTAAAGATTTTAATGCCCAGATGATGGCGAGCATCTCTTTTTCGTTCGTCGCATAGTGTTCTTCTGTCTTTGTTAGGGTCCTCGAAATGAAGTGATTGGTTTTCCTTCCTGTTCCAAAACTGCGCCGATAGCATGTTTGGAAGCGTCTGTGGTTAAATGAAATTCCTTTTGGTAATTGGGGTAAGTTAATATCACTTCTCTTGATATCAGTGCATTCTTGACTTGGTTGAAAGCTTCGATGGCTTCTTTACTTAGTTGGATCGGCCTATTTTTTGATTGGTTTTTTGAAATTCTTCCTGCTTCTCCTCTTAGAAGACTAGTGAGGGGTTTGGTTTTTTTGGCATAGTCCTTTATGAATCTTCTGTAATAGCCCGAGAGGCCAAAAATGATCTTAGATTTCTAAGTGTTTTTGGACATGGAAAGTCGACTATTGTTTGAACTTTAGTGGGGTTTGTTGTGATACCTTTGGATGAGACAAGAAATCCTAGAAATTCGATTTCTTTTTTAAAAAATTCGCATTATCTATTTGCACCTTCATGTTAGCGTCTCTTAAGGTTTCAAAAATTTCGTGGATATTTTGGGCATGTGTTTTTCGTCTTTGCTGAATATGATTATATCGTCTATATAAACATAACAGATCTTTCTATGTATTTTCTGAGGATATCGTCCAAAGTTCTTTGGAAAATTGCAGGAGCGTTTTTGAGGCGAAAGGCAAACGGGTGAATTCATATTTGCCATTTTTTACTGAAAAGGCAGTTTTCTCAATGTCAGATTCTTTCAGTGGAATCTGGTGGAAACCGCTTTTCAGATCTATAACTGAAAAAAACTATTTTTACCTAATTGAGATAGGACTTCGTTTATATCGGGAATTGGATATCGGTCGGCAATGGTTATAGAGTTTAATTTTCTATAATCAATTACTAGTCTGTATTTTTTTTCTAGAGAGGCATCCTGCTTTTTTGGTACAACCCATATGGTGAGTTGTATGGGGACCGTGAAGGTCTTATTATGCCGTCGTCCAGCAGTTTTGGATCTGTTTTTCAACCTCTCCTTTCAACGACATGGGGTAGGGATAATATTTTGTATAGACAGGTTCGTTTGAATTTGTTCTTATCGTTGCGATAACTTTGGTGGTGTAGGTTAATTTCTCGTTAGGGTCAGAAAAAAGGTCGATACTTCGATTTACTAGTGAGCTTATTGTTTGTTTTTGAAAGTTATTCATATGTTTGTCTCGTATGAGGACATGGTTGACGTCTTGTGAAAAAAGTTGCTTAAGGCGTATTCTGAATGAATTATTGATGATCATAAAATTTTCCTTCGTATGAATGACTGCGGACAGTTCCTTCAAGCTGTCATTACCTAATATTGCTGAAAGGAAACGAGGGATGGCAGAAGATAAAATTTTAGGTTAATGTTTGGCAAGTTGAAAAGATTTACGTACGTGTGATGGGTAATTTCTATTTTGCCCCCTACTGAATTTGCAGAGAAAATTTTATCGTTTAGAATTTTCTTTTTTACTAACTGGGGTTGGATGTAATTTTTATTTGACCCGGTGTCAACCAAAATTTTTAAAATTTCTCCACTCTTCGTCCTGCAATTAAAGTAGGGTAACGAAGAGTTTCTTATTCTAAAAAATGGATGTCGGTGAAATCATAGCTATAGGGATAATATTCGCAATTTTCGACGGCGTAGTGTTCGTGGGTTATGGGTGGGGTATTATCTTCATTTCTAGTGAGGGTTGGGCTTCTTCTGGGCTTGTTGTTACATGTAATTGCGTTGAGCTTTTAAAGGCGGGTTTGTTATATTTGAGTCGCCTTGTCTTTTCCCAGCGTATTTGAAATTTGGTTTATTCGCGGAGTTTATGGCATTTGTCCTGATGCTAGGATCTATATCCATCGGCTCCGGTTTTGGTTGTGGCTTTTGAGCTGTGGGCCTAGGAGGTGGGTTATAGCGTTGATTCTGCTGTGTTTGCTGCTGATTGTAGTAGTTTGGTTGGTATCCTTGTGGGTATTGTTGTAAACCTTGTCGGATTGGTCCATATTGGTATTTTGGTCCGTTGAAGTTATTTGGTCCTTGAGGGTATTGTGGTCTGCTGACGCTATTTGATCCTTGGGGTACTGTTGTGGCCTTTGAGGAAATTGATTAAATCGCTGTTGAGGTTGGGGTAAGTGTGCCAGTTCGGGATAGAACTGTGGTGGTTTTAGGTAATTTCGTGGTGGCAGTGGTGGTTTAATATTGTAGTTGTCGAATCCATTCTGATGGTTTGCGTGAGCACTCCTGAATTTTTTGTTTTCCAGCTTTAAGCAAAGATGTAGTGCTTCTGGAAGATCCTTCGGTTTCGCATGCCTAACAGTCGGGGAAGGTCGCCGTTAAGGCCTCTGACAAATGTGTCCAGAGCTTTTATCCTAACGTTTCCGTAAGAAGTCTTATGGATTCCAGGCTTACTTCCATACATCCAATTTTGTTCAGAATCAGGGATAGGTGGCAATATACCTTTTGGTAGAAGTCCTGAATTGACTGTCTGCCCTGGATTAGGCCTGTCATTTGGTACTCTAGTGTACCCAGGTCCCTTTTATCGGCGTAATGTGTCGTGAGACACATTGAAATGGCCTTCCAATCTAGAGGGGTATTATAGGATTCGAGTGCGATATCAGCGCTACCTACGATTTTGTTCCTTATAACATTTAATATCCCAAAATATTTGGGAGTCCCTCTGTGTGTTGTAAATATGAAGGATTCTTCGACGCATTTTTTCCACGAGTTGAATTCTGCTGGTTTCCCAGAGAATTCTCTTAACGATCTCACCACGTCGGGGATCTTATCAATCTCCGTGAGATTGTTTCTGTGCTGTTCGTCGATGGTTTGGTCAGTAGTCGGTGTTGGGTTTGCCTCTGTCCCTACTATGTCTTGAATTATAGTCCGTCCGTCTGTCGTTAGTATTTGTGTCACTAGGCTCCTCACTAGGTTTTGTAGTTCGGGTGAGGGTTGTAGTGCAGGGGTGGGCTGTGGGTTTGGGACTGGATTTGGGTTTGGATTTGGATTTGGATTTGGGGTTGGGTTAGCATTCCCTAAGAGCGATGGTCTTATTAAGTTATTTGGGTTTGCCATTTTGAGAAAGAAGAAAAAATATTTTTTTCGCGATTTATGGTTTACTATTACTGATTTATATTTTATTTCACAAGGAAAAAAAATATATATTTTTTTTCACGATTTTATATTTTGTTCTACAAAATAAATTTTTTTTCACGATTTGTGGTTTACTATTCCCGATTTATATTTTATTTTATTGTGCTTCTTTTAAATGGAAACCAAAACTAAGATTTTATCTAATATCTAACTAACTTACAAAAGTAATTGAGTTCTCATTCTGCTGCTGATGCCCGTGAGTGTATTCCTTTTTGCTGTGCTACTAAGGCCTCTGCTAGGCTACTCCTCGGTTGTGGTATAGTCGATATTTGTGTGGTTGGTTTTTGCTGATTTTTGATGATTAAGGTGGGCTCATTGGCCTCTTTACAATAATTTTTGATGATTTTTGATTATTAAGGTGGGCTCATTGGCCTCTTTACAATAATTTTTGATAAAATTATAGTCTAAATAGTTATCAAGCAAAGTTCGTTTGTTTAATTTGTTTAGGGTTGCTTACCTTAAACTATTTTATTTAATTTCATTTAGAAGTTGCTTCATTCACTTCGCTTTATTTGTTACTTCGGTAGTTGTTTAGAGTCACTTAAATTAGTTTTATTAAAAGTTACCTCATTCGCTTCACTTTATTTGTTATTTCGCTTATTGTTTAAATTAATTTTATTAAAAGGTTACTTCATTCGCTTCACTTTATTTGTTACTTCCCTTATTGTTTAAATTAATTTTATTAAAAGTTATTTCATTCGTTTCACTTTATTTGTTACTTCACTTATTGTTTAAAGTCACTTAAATTAATTTTATTTTTTTGCCGGGTATAATTTTCGCGCGGGCGCCAAACAAGGAAGTTTTTGTTTAAACTTCCAACCGAGTACGCTACAGAAATGAGACTAACTATTCAAGTTGAATAATTGAAATATTAATGCTAAAATTTAATTGTGAAAGCAACAACAACTTGCTTGTTAAAATGTTCCAGACGCTGGTATCAGCACTTTGCATTTTACCGGATGCGCGTGCAACTGGTTAGTGCCAAATAATTCGGTTGTTGCGCTAATTCTTTGAATTGGCGCAACTTCGATTGCAAAAGAGGAAATGTAAAATAATATTAGTTAGCAATTAAAAATTCACCTGTGGGAATTCTTATTGCGAAATAAAATTTAAATGAAGTGTCAGCAACACTTCGCTTGTTGGAAGTTATTGTGGCTGTGGCCAAAAGAATGTAAGTATGTAATTAGCTTTAATGCAGCGGAAACAAAAGGTAAACAAGCTGTTGCGGCGATAGCCAAAATTAATGTAAATATGTAAATCGCTATGTTTTAGCAAAGGCAAACTGGCAAGTAATTTATTATGTGTTAACTTACAGTATAATATGTACACATTTATTGAAATCAAGTTTGGTTTTGTACAAATGGAGTGACTCACCTGAGATATCGTTGGCTGTCGAATCAGAAATAGAAAGAGGCTATAGTGAATTGCCGCATTTATAGGCTCCACAGAAGGTGGAATCTGGCAATGGGATCAAGATTAACGAATCCTGTCAGCGACATCTCTCGGTGAGATTTGAAAAACTTATGATTAAAATGCAGGCCTAAATATGCCGCCCGCCTTGCAGTATCACTGCAATATAATATAATAATGCTATACTTCAACTTCAAAATTCAAAATTACAATTCAAAATAAGTATGTACTTCAAACAATTCATAAATTCATTCTTTGTTTTTGCTTAAATATTAAACTAGTTAGCCCTTCTCTCCGCCTTCTTCTTCAGCTCCAGCCATAGGGGGTTGCTCCGGATATGACCCACCCGAATATCGTATTCTGCGTCGGCTCCAAATACCATAGATATAGCACTCGCATGGTAAAAGGTTGGGTCGGCTAAGCGCAGATTGTCGAACTCATCTGCCACACGCGCGTCGACTGTGCACTCGGGGGCGGTTCGCGTCGGGCTCGGCAGCACCTTTGCGCGGATCTCTAGCCGCTCATTCCACGCTTTGACTATTAAAGGGCACTGGTCGCTCTCACCTCTCGGTAATGCGTGTAGTCTCCGCGCTAAGGCTTTTGCGATTGTGCAATAAGGCTGCCCTGGGTCGATGATGGCTCACACAAATCGAATTCTTCCTCTCGACATCACCTTGAGCATCACCGTAGGCGTAAGGACCGATAAGCCCAGAGAACGTTGAGCAGAACATTTCGTCTTCGTTGCGGTCGAGTGGCACGTCTTCCTCACGTCTGGGGGTTTCCCACAGGTGGAGCAGACTGTGGTGCCGTTCTCGGCAGCGGTTGCAGTTGCACGTTGAAAGACAGCTACTGGCCATATGACGTGACGACAGGCAGTTAGCACAGTGGCGATACAGGAGGACTGCACGCATCTCTCCTCAGGCTCCATTCGACGAAGCTGGCGGCAGAAAAGCCACCGGTGGTTTTGCTTGCAGATGGGGCACCGATGGTGCTCTTGAGTAGCGTTGTTGTGGGCTCGAACCATGTTGTAAATTTTTCTGGAAAGAAAGAACTCGTTCGTTAGTTTGTGTTTACTAACGGTAGTAGAACTAATTTCACGATTGGGCGCGTAAGTATGCCTCGCGTTGTACGTATTTCAACGACTCGCACACGTTTATCTTGGCCTAACAAAACCATAACAACTCTACCAAGTCGAAATTCATTCGGGGGTAGGTTGTCCTCTTTGATAACCACGAAATCATCGACTTCGATGTCTCGTTGGGGGTGTTGCCACTTGACTCGCTTGTGTAGCTCCTTTAGGTATTCCTCTTTTCATCGCCGGCTATATCCTTGCTGACTTGCCTTGATCTTTTGCCATCGGTTTACGATTGACATCGGGTTTCCGCTGATTTCTGGTTCTGCGATCGGAAGTGGGCTTTAAAGCTCTTCACTCCCGCTTCTCACAGCCCTCCCATATGTGGGGCTCCCGGTGGGATGAAGTGCCAGTCGATGTCTTGGTGAGCATACGACTGGGTGGTGAGGCGGGAAATTTCAGCAACAAAGTTTCGGAAGTCCTGCCTTAATGCTTTGTTGGCTCCTACAAAATTCGTACCGTTGTCCGAGTACACGCCCCGAGGACAACCGCGCCTTGCCACAAACCTTGAAAACGCCGCTAGAAAGGTGGAAGCCGATAGATCGCTCGTTGCTTCCAGGTGTATTGCCTTCGTCGAGAAGCACACGAAAACGCAAACGTATCCCTTGATTATAAGACATGCTCTGCTGGTATAGTTTTTTCTCTCGAACGGTCCAGTGAAATCCACTCCAGTATTGGTGAAGGGCCGAGAAACTTCCGTTCTTTCAGATGGGAGTGCTGCCATAAGTTGCTCTCGTATCTTTTTTCTGTAAATAAGGCAAATTTTACGATTATGTATTACGCTTTTTATCAAATTTTTCATCCGTATGATCCAAAATTCTGCTCTCAGAAATCTCAGCATGAGTTGATTTCCTCCATGCAGGGAAATTAGGTGTGAAAATCTGACTAAAAGTCGAGAAAATTGGCACTCGTACGGCAAAATCACTGGGTAGCGTTCATTATATGACAGCTCCGCTAGCGCTAGGCTCCCTCCAACTGTCATGATTCCATTTCTATCGAGAAAGGGGTTGAGAGCGTGGAGGGAACTCTTTGCGCACACTGACCTTGATGCCTCTAGTGCCTGATACTTATTGGAGTAGCACCGCTTCTGCGCTAAAAGAATCAAGCGCGTTTTGGCCTGTCGAAATTCATCGGAAGTCACTTGGATCGTTTCCCCTCGTGGGATCAATTTTTGTACGGGATGCGTTTTATAATAAAACTGAAAAACCCGTGCTATTACCCGCAGTGCTCGAGAGAAATTCGAAAATCTTTCCAAAAGGTCAGGCGGCTGTGTGGCGATTGTGTCNGAGAGAAATCCGAAAATCTTTCCAAAAGGTCAGGCGGCTGTGTGGCGATTGTGTGAATGCGCACGGCTTTTTGTTCTAAATCAGTTTCCATGGACCTCTTATCCATCTTCTTTGCCCATTCCGATGGTTGTTCTTTCAACCACTTTTGGCCCTGCCATCATAGTGTTCTCTTTACCAGTTCTTGTGGTGATGCGCCACGGCTACCGAGATCTGCTGGGTTATCATTCGAGTCCACATGATTCCATCCTCTCACACCAACCAGTTCATCGATTTTGCGAGCCTATTCGCCACGAAAGTGGTCCAACAACAAGGCGGCTTCCTTAACCACGAGAGCGCGATGGTGGAATCGGTCCATTTATAGATCACTGTCTGGGCTACGTCGAACTGCGGAAGTAAAGCACTGATTAATATTGCCAAAATTAGTGCCCCGCACAACCCTAGTCGCGGTAGAGAGACGGTTTTCATGGGCGCCACCTTCGTTTTACCTACAGGTAAATTTACAAACGGGATATTGTTCGAGTTTCGTTCGCGCACTCTAACGTAAATGGCTACCGCATAAGCCTTCTCTGATGCATCACAAAACCCATGAAATTCAATTTCATTCCAAGGTGTGAAATTGATCCAGCTTGGAATTTTAATATCTGAACTGTGAATATAATTTTTAAGAAAGTTCTCCCATCGCAGGTAAACGGTTCGAGCAGTGGCGTAGCCAGGATTTGGCTTTGGGGGGGGATGAAAAAAAAAATTACATCGATAACTTAAATTTGTGACACACAATGANATCTGAACTGTGAATATAATTTTTAAGAAAGTTCTCCCATCGCAGGTAAAGGGTTCGAGCAGTGACGTAGCCAGGATTTGGCTTTGGGGGGGATGAAAAAAAAAATTACATCGATAACTTAAATTTGTGACACACAATGACTAGAGGCGTCGCCTGAGTGCATTCTTTCATATATTTATGTATGTGCCAGTTTTACCGTTATATATTTTTTATCTACTCGTTTATTCCATGGGGTATTCATGCTTTATTTAAATTTAAAAATTTAAATTACTATACCGTTTTAAAAATCTGAAAATTCACTGCGGGAAATTTTTGTATTCTCTTTTTGTCTTCGCGTTCTCGTTTTTGCGTTTATAAGTTTTGAAAAAAGGTTTGAACGAACCATTATATCACATTCCTGGGCAAGTTCTGAAAGAATATTTTCGATACTAAATTTTATTAAAACAAAATGTTGAAATCAGCTTCATATAGAAACAGTGTCATCGTTAATTAAGAAAGAGATGTTCTTAAATATCATAACTTCGACACTCACATATTGACTAGATTTGACTATTTATTTTATTATATTTTAATTTGAATTATTTGTTTATAAAAATATAGTTTATTTATTATTTTGTTAAAGTGTAAACTGCATTTTTGTAAACAAATAATTAAAATTATATAATTTCAATCTAGCTAACATGTATAAAGTTTTGATAAGCACTTGAAATGGCCAGTTTTAGTACTGAATTCAAAGAAGATGTCTCTTTTATCCATTCATAATAACTTAAAAAATTTGTTTGTTAAGAAGTGTGTCTTAAAATATCTGCCTTGACATTTATGTTAAAAGTGTAAAATATGTAAATGTACCTACATAAACTTTCCCGTGAATACCATCAAAGCATTGGTCTTGAAGGGAATCTATGTATGCATGCATGCATATGAGCAAATTAAAAAGTCGATACAATTTACAGTCGAAAAGTACAGTTTTTGTATAGATTATAGATTATTTCCCAACACTGTGGGGAACTAAGCAAAATGGCCTAGTGTATTTCGCAAATATTCAAATACATAATCCACCAACCGATAATTTTATATTTTCAATAAAAGATAATTTGTCATCAGTCTGAAATAAAAAAATTATAAATCGGAAGGGTAAAATAGTATTGTGTTATTAATTCAAAAATAAAAAGTTTCATTTCAATGACGATCTATCCCCCCAAATCCCCCCTGGCTACGCCACTGGGTTCGAGGTAGACTATCATTCCAATCTATCTTGGTTAGCCATATGTCTTGCATAAGAATTTTCGCCTCTACCACAATGGAGCCCAGCCACCCTGCAGGGTCGAATAATTTTGCCACACACGATAAAACCTCCCGTTTGGTGTAGCATGGTTTTATCGGAATCTCTTGCACGTTAAAGTGAAACATGTCGTGAGCAGCATTCCATCGAATCCCTAACATTCTCGCCTCGCTCACGTCGTCGATTTCCAAAAAAATCCTCCTTCAACAGATGAGCGTTGGGCAAAGCTGAGAGGATTTCCCTGGAGTTCGAAGTCTACTTCCGGAAGGAAAACCCAGCTCCCTTCAGCGCATCTATGAGTTCATTGCGCGTGCGAATTGCTGTCTCGGTATCATGAGCCCCAGCAAGTACGTCGTCAACGTACATACGCCGCTATAAAATCCTGGAAGCTAATGGAAACTGCGAACTAACGTCTTCTGCTACTTGGAGAAGAGTTCTTATGACAGATACGGGACACAGTCGACACCAAACGTCACCGTTTACAACTCATAGTCCACAAGCGCTTCATTTCGTGACTCCCGGAAAAGAATTCGATGGTATGGCGTGTTATCTGAATGCAGCTGAATCTGCCTATACATCTTCTCTATGTCCTAGTTGAAAAATCGCTACTTCAACAGCAAGGCGACGAGATCGGCCTGCAAAACTGGGCCTGGATAGAGCACATTATTTAAACTTGCCCCATGGTGCTGTCCGGTTTGATGACTTCACGATGTGGCCAAAAGTGTGTCCCTGATAAATTCTCACTCACGGTGTTGTAATGTATTCTCGTAATACACGATGATATTCTTCCTTCAGCTCTGGTCTGCTCATCATCGATGCTTCGTTCTGAACAAATTGATGCGCTGCACTCGTCCGCGAATACCCAAGACTGATATCTGCTGGAAGCTCCTGTCGAAACGGTAATGCTACTACATAACGCCCCTGGTCATTTCTTAGCATTGACTTTGCGAAATGTTGCTCACAAAACGCTTCATCAAAAGTAACCTGTTGTTTACTCGGAACTTGCTCTAGTTCCCAGAAACGGGTTAGCTGAGAGCTGGAAATTTCATTGAAAAAAGACATACAGGAAACATTTGTCCCAGTAGTCTCAGGAACAGGGCCTGTCAATACCCAACCAAACACTGTCTCCTGTGCCAAAAGGGTACCCAATTTTACATACATTTTTCTTAATTACACTGTGGAACAAATTCAGGTTAGCAAAAGTTAGGTCGATTCTGAGAGTGAGGGGTGAAAATAGAGGCTAAATTAGAAGACCCGTATCGCGGCGTTTGTTTATGTTAGTTCGAATTTTTTTTAATTGACCTTCGAACTTTGCAGTCAAATGCCGATTTTCAGCTTATTGTTTATATGGTTTTTTGGCTATAACTCGNTTTTTTTTAATCGACCTTCGAACTTTGCAGTCAAATGCCGATTTTCAGCTTATTGTTTATATGGTTTTTTGGCTATAACTCGTCGCCTAATTGATATTTTTTCAATCTGTTAAAGCCAAATTATTGCTAGAGACTTATGCAACAATTAAAATAAAAAAAAAATTGATTTAAAAAATTTGTGTAGTGCTTATGAAGCAAAATGTTGGAAATTTTTTTTTTCATGCTTTTTGAACATATTTTCCACAAAACAAAGTCTTTTTTGCTTTCTGTTTGATCTACAATATGTTTCTCAGTTTCTTCAATAAATTTTATTTGAAAAGAAAACAATCATAATACAAAACTTGCGTTTTCCAGCTTAATATTAATTTACTTCTCATTTCTTATGTACCAATTTTTTCAGTGTCGGTTTTGAAGAAACATTGAAAAAGAAATTATTAAAATATGGAAAAAAATATAATTTTGAAATGTTAGTTATGAAAAGTTTTAAGTAAAAAAATTAAATAAATTAAATTAATGATTTGGCCAGTTGCCGTTGCTCCACATTAAACTTGGCATTGCTAAAAATTTTTTGAAATGTATCGCAAAAAAGACCAGCAGTATTCAACCACTTAAAAGACATTTTCCCAAGACTAAGTAACGCCAAAATTCAGGAAGGGGTTGTTAATGGTCCCGACATACGGAAACTAATGAGTCGTCAAGATTTTGACCAAGTTCTGACAGACTTTTGGGTAAAGAACGCAAAGACAACTACAGGCAATCTGTTGCAAACATGTTGGCAGCTTTCGATGAAATTGGGGTTAATATGTCGTACAAAATTCATCTCTTGCATCAGCATCTTGATCAACTCGCTCAACAGTTGCCAACTGAATCTGATGAGCAAGGCGAACGTTATCACCAAACT